TGCATGACTATTCCAGATATTAAGCGATTAGATCGGAAAGGATTTAATTTTAGCATTTCTATGATGCAAAAGGCACAGGAAGTGAAGTAAAGTCGAAGGAGACTCGAGTCTGCTTCATAAGAATGTAGAAAACACAGACAGCAGAATATCCTCAAGTGCAGCTGCTTGAATGTGGATTAAGACAGATCCTAGGGTTCATCTATTTTTGTTTCCTAGTTTGCCTGATTGCTTCTCTATAATTAGAATTCAAACGCAGACCAGTGTTGTATATTTTAACGTTTTTATATCTTATAATAGTAAAATTAAAATTAAATCAAAATGAGGTTTAATTAGCAGTTTGTCCTCTGATAAAATGTGGTTGATACATGCAGTGTTTGTCATATCTGAGTGTGAAAGGTCGAAGACACACTGTATGCTTTGGAAATCAGGCAGGCAGACAGCATGTTAATCCAGTAAAAAGCCTTTAAGTCAGTCTTTACATTGTTGACTTCTGCAAATAATAATTCAGTTTCATGAATATGCAGTCTTTGTTATAATTAAGGAAAGAAACACACCCTCCCTCATGTTTTGTACTTGGAAAGTTTATATGGTCAAATTGTGGATCATTATTTTAACTAATCTATATATCAGAGGGGGAAACTATTTAAAAAAAAGTGTAAATGCTGTAAATCTAAGAAAGTCTCAATTTAATTACCTACTTAATTACCTATATATGCTAATATTTTTGGATGATACAGAGACTGTATACAATGGCACACTAAATGAGGAGCACTGTGGTACTTCCTGGGTAACAAAACAGAGACTTCCTTGTCCTTAACATCAATAATCAAGCTGAATGTAATATGTCTGTGTTTCTGGGTTCTGACCGTGTTTTCCTCCTGATGTTGTTGTTTACAGAGCGAGCAGGACGATAACATGCTTGAGATGGCCGGGGACGACGTGGACGTGCCCGAGGAGCTGCTCAAGATGGTGGACGAGGATGCCACGGAGGAGGAGGGCAAGGACTCCATCATGGGCCAGTTTCAAAACTTGCAGAACATGGACATGGACCAGCTGAAGGAGAAGGCCTCGGCCACTGTCACCGAGCTGAAGACCAAAGCGGAGGAGAAGTGCTCCGTCATGTGAGCAGCCTGAGGGGGTCGTCTGTGTTTGAGTGATGAAGAGGAAGAAGAAGAAGAGGAAGAGGAGAACACAAGAAAATTTCAACACTTTCTGAGAATCTGCAGACTGAGCTGTGTTAATAAGTCTGAGATTCAGTTTCAACTGCCTACAAAGTATTCACTTTTATCATAAGCACTACTACTACCAGTCTGCATCTACTGAACAACATACTGTAAAACTTTCCCTGTTAGCTTTTTACTGAATGGGTAGTAATTTACAACATATCATTGCAATAAACTTAAAATACTTTAATTTACAACCAGAGTGCCCCATCTCGCCCCAATGACCTTTATCTTTGATAAACTATGTAGAAAAGTGATTTTCCCAGCCAAGTAGCCCTTTTCACGTCATTCACAGGCCACAATACATTTTAATAATATGATTATTTGTGATATAATGTTCGCTTTTTTCTCTGTTTGTTGTAAATTGAGACAGTAATGTCTCTAAACTTGTTATTTTCAGTCAAATAAATAACAAATACACCAAGACAAGCTTATAAAACAACTTATTTAAGTTAAATATTCAATCCTGTATGAGTGTTTCAACTTTCCTTTTGGTTTGTTGGTTATTCTAGATTTTTTTTTGTATGTGGTGTTTGAATTATGACATTTAGATTTTTGCAGTGTTATTACAGAGCAGACATGTTAATTTACTTTGATTTTCTCCACATACTCATTTGAATTGTAATAACGGTTGTTGAGCTGGAAACATTTTGCAGAAACATTTGCAGATTTGCACAAATCACAAGTTTAAAATACTGAATGATTTATTCCATAAAAATGAAAACAATGTACATAAATACAGATGAAATACACATAAGGAAACTTGTAAATGTATTGTTCAAATAAAAATGTATATTGAATACGTGAAATATGTCAGTTTGTGTTGTGAGGCTGGCTGCTGGAAAACTTCCTACATATCGACAGTCATGTGCAGCTTTTTCCACAGACACACATCTTCAAATTGTCACAATGTATTGAGGTATGAGGCTTTCTGGTCAGTCCCACAGAAATTCTGTTGTACAACCATTTAACATTGAAGATTAAGAAACTTAAATTAATCTCATCTACCCAAATCAGAGCTAATGCAGTGAATAAAGAAAAAGGTCTTAATTTAATTGGGCATTATCCAAACACTTGTTAGGAGTGATTAGGCAGAACAGGGGGGAGGAAGGAATCCTCAACATTTAGTTTCACATGAACCCAAGTTTAAATGGCTGTGGATTTGTAAAGTCTGGAGATTACCATCTAATAGGATCAGCAGAGCCAAGGTTGTCAGCCTGTGTCCCCGCCCGCTCACTCGCTCTCTCTCTCTCTCTCTCCCTCAAACTCAGAATAGCTCAGGACAAACTGGACTGCTGCAAAACCAGACATCTCATTATTCTTTTTGAATTTTCATATAATTTACCCATTTAAATGTTAGTAAGTCTTAAAGTTACACATAATTAAGGACATGGCCACTTTGAGTGACAGGCTGTCTGCAAGGTGGCACCACAGGTAATTGGTCAGACTCACCCCTCACTCTGCCCTAACTATGGTCACTTCCAGCTCTACAAATCCAAGATGGCAACAGCCAAAATGCCAAACTTGGGGGTTCAAAACAGTGACATCATGGTGGCTACATTCATTTTTATTTATATGTAAAGTCTATGCTACAGCCAGGAGACTGTTAGCTTAACATGACTGAAAACATAGGGAAACAGCTAGCCTGCCTCCTTCAGAAGGTAACAAAATGTGCAGCACCTCTAAAGCTCACTAATTAACGTGTTACATCTTTTTGTATCCTTTTGTTTTACAAAAACAGAATTACTGCTTCCAGTCTGGCACATTACAGCCTGTAAAACTGACAAATTGATGTTTTTACTCTTGTTTTTTATGTGCATCATAACAACAAGATGTGATGTGTTAATTAATTAGCATGAGAGGTGCTGGTGCAGCCTAGTCGCCAGAAGAAAATGTTGGCATTGTACATTTCTACAAACCATGAAAAACTTACATTTATACGTATCATATCAACCTTTCTAAAATGACTTACCTCTGGTTACATGTATGGCAGCAGGCCTTGTCCTTGTTAGGAGGAAAGGATGGTTGACATGGGTGCTGAGCTGCAGACCCCTATTACAGACCAAAAAAAAAACTGGTTGGTTTTTCATGAGACAGCAGCATTTCCGGGCGTGATTGTGCCATGAAGAGCAGGTATTTTAAGCCAACACAGGATTTTTTCCCAACCAGCTGCTGGCTGTAGCTTTATTTTTATCAGACTGATACAAGTGTGGCATCAATCTTTTCTTCCAACTCATAGCAGGGAACTGAATAAGCATATTTCTTAAAATGTTGAACTTTTCCTTTAAAGCTGCAATTGCTCATAATGATGATAGAGAACAGAAACTTGTCAGGGCCATAAAGTTAGGTTTTCATTTATACTGGCTCGATTGAAGCTACGTTTTTCCCTCTGCAGGTTCAGGTCAAAGCTCAGCTCCTTGGTCATCCTCACTTTTATATTTCAGATTTTGAAAAGTTGTTGAGACTGAAGGACAATGACTTTAAAATCAAGTTTGAGCTGAGACCATTTTACTGTACATACTTGCGAAACCTGCAAGACGTTTTCTGTCTCCATCGCTTCTTCATTAATAAAGGTATTGTGAACAGTGGAGGTTATTATACTGATACAGAAGCTTCATTCAACCTGTATTTGACTGTCACTTTCAAGGCTAATCGGTAGCTGAGCATTGAGCTCATGAGACGGAAACTGAATATTCAGCTTTTATTCCACATTGTAATAATACATAAATGAAAATGAATCAATTCAAACTCAAGGAAACTTTTCAGACACCGTACAGCTGAAGAACCTTGCATCAGGCTTTGCAAATCATCGTCAGAGCTCCTCACATGCAAACAAGAGAGCATCTTTAAAAATGTTTGCTGTATGCTGTACAAATAAACTTCTGTATGTGCTTGAGTCACAACTTTTTCCAGTTAGTTAGAACAGCATCCCCCNCCCACCCCACACACACACACACACACACACACACACACACACACACACTCTGGCAAACAAAGGATAAGGTCACCTTCTGTAATTAGGAAAAGCTAAATAGTTTTAGGGGTTTTAACTCTTTTGAGTAAAATAATGTAATCCCCTTAAGCAGGATTACCACACTGCTGTCAATCTTCGTTTGCCATTAAGTGGTCATAGCCCAAAACTTATTATTGTTTGGGCTTTGTAACCCTCTTTGACTCAACACCTACAAGGCATTAGTTAAAAAACTTGTCATAGTTAAGTCTGATTTAGGAATCACTGATTAATTAATTTTTAATGAGCCTATAAAAGTATTTTATGTGTCAGAAGATGCATCACTTTTCCTTTAGGTCAATAAAACAAAGAATTCTTCAACTAAACGAAATGTCTGTTGGTTTGGCAACAATATCTTGACGCTTTGATTAAATATTAAGCTGTCATCTTGCAATCCGTGTCCTGACCAGAAATCTTGTAATTATGATTTTGTTGTACCTTAATCTGTGGGCCTAATCTTCCTCTTTTTTCACAGACTGACATGAACATGACATCTGGAGGAGTGGAAAGATGGTTTTAAGATTTATGTAAGTAGGTTTAGAGCCAGCACTGACTGATGCAGTTGAGATGGGGAGGAGTTACAGGGACGGTGTGCGCGCTGGTGCTTGCATGGGCGCACAGTTACCCCTAAATCCAGGGCCAAATCCAACAGGACGTCCCCTCTCTGACGTGCAGCGGGGGTGCCGCACGAGCAGGGGGTCTTACAGCAGGCACTACTTTAAAAGCCCCATCTGAAGATGCTCCGTATCCACTGAGCGTGACCGGCGTACTGGTGTGGGTCTTGTGCGCAACTTTTCCACTCTAGTTTGAAATTTACAACTTTACCAAAAACACAGAGCAGCAGATTTTTTTTTAAAGAAGTAATTTTACCTTCTTTTGGACTTCACCGACCAATGTGGCTCCTTGGATCAACTTCCCAAGTGATGATGATGATGGATGAGCGCCTGTCTCCTTCCGCCCGCTCCGTCCAGAGCCCGGGGGACAACCCGTCCACAGTCCACAGCATAGAGGCGATACTGGGATTTAAAGAGGACACCATCTTCCACAAGTCGGCCTGCTACAGTATGACAGAGAAGCTCCTGGTCAAAGATGCGGAGCGGAATGTAATTGTGACCCCGCTGAAGAAAAGTCACTCCTCAGAAAGTTTTGACAGTAAGTGGATTTCTCCAAAATTCAGCATGAAGTCAGACAATTTATGCGCAAAAATATACTTAAACATCTCATATTGTCTTAAGTATTAGGTCTTTAAGTTTATCAAGTTTTTTAAACTTAAGATAACATAAAACCTAAACTTATTTCTCAAGAAAATCAGGTGCCATTTTTTGATAGTGCGTAAATGGTGCGCAAAAATTCTCAAAAAAGTACACATCAGCACATAAAAACGCACAAAAAAAATGTTTTACATGAAACTAGCAGAATAAGATTTAAGGTGGCATATTTAACTTTGGCTCAAAACTCAAAAACCCAACACTTTGTCTTCCCACTCTCCCCCTCCTGCAGGTGTGTGTTGTGCCAGCGGCGCCGCTGACGCCTCGGTGTGCCCGGACTCACCCGACAGAGACGGCAAACTGTCCGATGATGAAAACCCCAAAAAGAAACACCGGCGGAACCGCACAACATTTACCACCTTCCAGCTTCACGAACTGGAGAGAGCTTTCGAGAAGTCCCATTACCCGGACGTGTATAGCAGGGAGGAGCTGGCGCTGAAGGTCAACCTGCCGGAGGTCCGAGTCCAGGTACGTCCCCAAAAGCAACACTGGCATCGCCTTTTTTTACCTTATTGTGAACGCATATATTGGTCCTGAAGGCCTGCAGGCAGCAATGAGGGCAAATTTGTGTCCATATATGCATAATCTCCCAACACAAACCCTAAAAACAAATGTAACATCTTTAATAATACAAGAAAAAATAAAGGATCTTTCCAAAATGATTTAAATTAAAGGCTTATTTGGGGTAAATCTCCGGTTATTACATCAAATTTAAGAGATTAATTGGACATTTTGAAAAACAATTTGTAACACATTGGTTTAATTTGCTCACATTAACTGAAACTGTAGGGATATTTAACTTGCTATGGAATCATAAATAGATGACAAAGAAGATGACAGTTTTAGTTCTTGCAAATGAAATGCAAAAGCATTTTCATTCATTTTGGCTAAATTTTAACACACAGATCACAAAATGTTGAGCTTCAGTCATAGCTATTATCACAGATATAATATTGAAAGAAACTAAAAAACTGGAAGTTCAATCAATATCTTAAAATGTTATGTTTGTAACTACCACTAATCATTGATTATAGCATTACAATTTAATGCAAAGTGCAGTGTTTAATAGCTGAAATCACCACTTACATACCTCATATTGTCATCCTCCACATTTCTAAATATTTGAATACTTTCACATACTAATAGTATATTTTACAAAATGGCTAGATTTTCAGGCAATTTCAGCCTTGGAAGTGTTTTTCTCTTCTTCTATTTGTTTTGTATCAGCTCAGTTGCCTCTGCAGGGATGAGTAACACTGTACCTACTTTCTTTTAATTTAAAATTTAAATCCTCTTCTATCTTTCCAGGTGTGGTTTCAAAACCGGCGGGCCAAGTGGCGTCGCCAAGAGAAGCTGGAGGTGAGCTCCATCAAGCTCCAGGACACCTCCTCCTCCTCCTCCTCCTTGCTCTCCTTCAGCCGCTCTCCCACCAGCTCCCTGAGCACCAGCCTGCAGCTGGACCCCTGGCTCTCCACCCCGATCACCACCTCCACCTCCCTGCAGTCCCTCCCGGGCTTCATCACGGGCTCACAAGGCCTCCCGGGCACTTACACCCCCTCTCCTCCCCCTTCCATGCCCTCTTCCTTGCCGGCCTCCTTCCTCAACTCCCCTGCCCTGGGACACAGTCCTCACCTGCCCCACATGGTCTCCATGTGCCCCCCGCCCCCTGCGTACCACTGCTCAGTTGATCCAAGGAACTCCAGTATTGCCTCACTGAGGATGAAGGCCAAGGAACATATTCAGTCTATTGGGAAGACGTGGTGATGCTGAGTAGAGGTTAAAAATGGACATTGAAACCCAGGATGCATCGTGCTGCATCTTTCGAGGAGGTGACGTCATCCTCATGCTGACAGGACTGTTAATTTGGAAGTTTTAAAGAGTGAAATCTACAGTTGACATCCAGGATTAGAGACATCCTCTTCACTTATAAGGGTAACACTTCTCCCTATTTAGCATTCATACGCAGTAAATGTTTAATAAATGGATCATGGTAAACTATAATTAAGTATAAGCAGATATAAGTGTTTATTAATGTATTTATCCTCCTATGGGCACCCATAAGACAACACAGAAAACATGGTTCTATTAACATAAAATACATCTTCATTTGAGAATTGCTGACAAATACTGTACATTAATAAACACTTTAAATATCTTTGTAGCCACTTATCACTAAGCTATAATGTTATAAACTATTTATTAAATGTTTGCACTGTTTATAAATGCTAAACAGGGGGACTTAAAGTTAAGTGTCATCAAGCAACTAACTGAAAATCTATGAAACTAACTGTGACCTTCCTGTAAAATCCAAAACTAATGAACACCGCACATCTGTTTTTTTTTCTCTTCTACTTTATCTTCCCTGCAGTCCATGTTTACTGTAAAGTTTTACAATCATTCAGTCCCACCTCATTCTTATCCGGTGTTATGCTGCCAATATAACAGGTTCATTAGTATCCATCAGTATTTATTCTACTTTTGTACATGGAGCTACTCCTCGTTTTCATCCTTCCTTTGCTGCTTTTTGATCTGCATCATGAAAGATTTAACAAATGTGAATATTTTGTCTACACAATAAACTTTATATGTAAAAATTCATAAACAAAATCGTGGCTAATCATGTTTTCCCAAATGATTTGTGACATTTTAGACTTGGAGATTTGTCAGAAATGTCTGACTGGGTGGAAATAATGAGAGTGTTCATCAGGAGTGACAGCGACGCAAAGGTAATATGTAACAGAATAGCATCCATGACCTGCAGTTGATCTGCCAATATCACATTTATGTCAGAATATTGAAAGCGTCATTAATCATGCTGCAGAGTGGAAGTACAGGGAAGCTCAGTACACTCTAGTTGGGAAAAATTGGATACAGCTCCCCTTGGTGGTGGACTCCACTGTGTTTATAAGGTTGGGAACAATAAGCAATAAAACATGACACTAAATGCAAAGTGTTGAAGGGGAGCTATTTCATTATATCATTTCATACTGGAGTTAATTTGCAAATGCTGTCTAAAATACCCTAAGGGCCCCACATCATACTGTAAATGCAACTTTGGATCAAATAAATCCATTTAACCTCTTTATGGTATCAAGTTTCACACCACTTTACCATTTAATCATTTCATGTAAACACAAGAATGGAGGGTGTGATAAAGAAGCAGCTTAATCTCCCAGACTTCCTCCCACTTATTTCCTCTTCATTAACTCCTGTAAACTTTATCCCATTCGCTCCTGGGATTAGACTCATAATGACGGGGTGAAAGTGGCTCATACCTCTATTGTTCGCCAATCATCCGCGACAAATGAGCGAAGAGGACAGAAGAAAAAACTTTCCTTTGGCTTAAAAAAAGGATGTGTGTAACTAAATTGTTTCAATTAGCATTTCCTATTGTCTGCAGCTCCTGAGGGCTAATAATAGTCCCCGTCATCATCTATCCTAACTGTCCTAAAGACACACTGGGGTGTGTTTGTGCTTGTTATAATGAGGACAAAAAAGACAGTATCACAGCTGACTGAATGGACCATAAACTGCTTTTGTCATCTGTAATTATGATCATGTTAACTCTTAATGCTTCACCTTATTGGTAAGTTACTACAAATTTAACTACAGATGCTCTCAACATGGATGTTGTGCGCCATCTAGTGGTACAAACCTGTTATTGTACAGAGGGAGTGCGCTTCATGAGCATTATACATTGTCAAACACAGACAGTGAATGTTTGGTAAAGACAAAAAGGCCATTTGAGGTGTGCAAAGCATGATTAGAAATTCACAGTGCAGTTATCATAATGTTACTTTTATTCAGCATTCTCAGCTCATGTAAGATAAACTCATCATGTCAGCATGTAATCAGATTACTGCTTGATGTGCGTATTAGAAATCATTGATAAAATACACTTCTCATGTGTTTCCAGCATACTCTTACCAGAAAAAAATATATACAGTCTGAATATGTAGTTACAGAGCTAATGTTTAGTAGGTACTGATGACTTTGTATTTTAATTCATCTTGCATTCATTCAGGTGGAGTCATTGTCTTGCAGTTTCAAAGCCAGAAGAAGCAGGTCTGACGTCTGTAAGGGAGAAATAACCATCTTATTTTTTCCCCAGAAAAGAGGTAACATTTGAAGAATCACTGATGAACACTGATGATCCAGAAACTGACCTCTCTGAGATATTTGTCTCTGTCCTCTTCTCTCCATCTGCTGTACAGCCGAAGCAGCCTGTCTGCAGTTTGTGGCACCGTCTGTTTCTGGCTCTTTTGTTGCATTAGAGCCTCAATCAAACGCTCAGTGACCCCAGCTGTTTCTGAAGACATAAGGTAGTCACTGTCGTGGTTTGTCTCCTGCAGTTCAGGCTGGCTCTCGATGCTCTTCTTTCCCATTAAATGACCTGGGGAATGGGATGTAATGGGATGCATTAACTGCTGTGGAATAAACCTGTTTGTGGTCTGACTACATTTGATTTAACCAACTCCATCATGATATATCTGACATTAAACTTTACATAAAAAGACTCACGTTCACAACACTGCAAGCCTGAATCAAATGCAATGTATTCAGTGTATGTTACCCATGAAATAGCTTTCATATCTAAGAGGTATGTTCAATTAACTTAATTCAATTTACTCGACTGTGAAGAAAAAAAGTCTACTTTATTACATGAACAGATAACAAGTACATTTTTTAAGTTGATACACAGGTGAGGCAGGCAAATTACTGCATTATAATGGCTAAATAATTAATAAACATTTATGTTAGTGCGCTATTATTTGTTCAAAAGACCAACTAAGCATGCAGGATATCACGAAGTCCCAAATATGCTTTAATATTTTATGATCTTACGAGATATATAATTACTCTGGCCAAACTATGCTGCACAATTACCAAATAAATCTAGCAAATACAATAGTAGTTAAAAATTATAAAATCATTTAACTTCTTTAAAAATATGAAGTTTCTCTTACCTACTGCCCAGTGGTTGCCGCGTGGATACATTTTTCCCACAGCTACTGCAGAAACATCTGAGCAGTACATCATACACGGCACTGTAGCCAGCATAATAAAAAGTGGCCACACCAGTCTGCAAGTCCATGAAAAGCACACGCACACTCCGCCCATGTTATCAGAGAAAATGTCAGATCTAAACAGCGCTATTTGAATCCTCACTCGTCTTGATTTAACTTTAGAAAATCTCCAGCATAGTCGTTACTGTGCGAACCGATATCGCAGCCGAGTGAAAGGCGCTCCAGCTGCGGACCTGTTATAGTCCCGGTATGTTTGATACAAGTGACTAATGATCAAAGTTAAATGCCCGTCCTGATACAAGCTGCACGTCAGCGGGTCTTTTTAAAAGTACCAGTGATGATGAGAAAGCCGCGACGACAACATATCATCCCGAGCCTGTAATTATTATTACTCGTGTTGTTTGTTCAGAGATTACAGGGTGATAGCGGGAGGTGTCTACGTCACTGCACGGTGATGGACGCGACTTCTGAGTAATTGCTTCCGTTTCATTAGGTTGGGAAAAAATAGGAGGTATTTAACTGTAAGAAAAATTAGTAACAGCAAAGTAAAGCATCAAAATGTAGCCTATATAAAGTATTCTAATATCTAATATTTTAGCATTTTTATTTAATCAACAGCAATATATTAGATTTCATGAAGTGATCATATGTTTTGAATGCTAAATCTTGATGTATAGCTAAAGTTTCTAGTGAGTAGTACAGCTGTAGGATAAATCTGGAATAAATTGTTCAATATTTTATTCCATATTAATAGTGGAGTAGAGATGGCCTTTATAAAGTAGCATGAAACAGAAAGTATGCGTACCTAAAATGTACTTAAAGGTCCAATAGGATTTAAAGGGATAAACTGGCAGAAATGGAGCCTATATTTCTTTAGCATATATCACCTGAAAATAAAAATCATTGTGTTTTTGTTACCTTTAAATGAGCTTTTTATATAAACATGGGAGCCAGTCCTCCTCGATGGAATATGCCATGTTTCAGTAGCCCTGAACGGACAAACCAAACACTGGTTCTAGTTAGGGCCATTTGGTTTTGCATTTTTGTGTTGGTCACTATAGTTAGCAGCCCCTCTGTGACAAGCCAAACAGTGCCGATTTTTAACATGAAACTGCTTTTTTTAGTACCTGTTTAAATCACCAGCGGTCTAATTTATATACAATGAGTATGCACAAAATGAGGCCCAAAAGAGGCTTGGAATGTAAAAGTTGTGACATATAAAAACAGTCTTGGTGGGAGAAATTGTGACCCATGCTTATGAAAATTTTGGAAAGGACGAAATTGGTCACACAGATGGTGAGGTGGAAGCCTGATTGCAGAAACTGTTGAATATTTTTTGGTGCATGCCATTTTTGGCTCTTTTCTCCATGCGTACATTTTTAGTATGGATCCTTTGCATTATTTTATAATGAGACCCCAGGTCCATTTGTTTTGGAAAGGAAGAGACCACTCCCAGTTAAAACTTCCTGGATGTTAAGTTATCAGAGAAAAAAGGTGAGCACACAATAACAGATGCTAGGCTAGCAGCCCATCTGCAACAAGCCAGACAGCATCAGATAAACTGATTTGGACCATGAAACTGCTTTATTCAGTGTTTTTATCTGTTGAAATCACCAGGTTCAGTTGTTTTGAAGAGGAGACTTCTGTGAATAATTCAGCTCCCAGTAAAAATCTCTTAAACAAAGAACACTGAAGGAATTCTAACTGGGAGTTCAGTTGGCACAGAAGAAGTTTCAGTTGGTTGAACCTGCAATTCTCACCGCCAGATGCCACTAAACCCTACACACTGCTCCTTTAAAAGAATACTCCATTGATTTAGTGTTGCCCTCACCAGTGAAATAAAATCAACAGAACTAGAGATACTGTTACTTTTTTTTCTTCTAACCATTCTTATTCCTTGTCAAAACCTGGTGCCTACATTACCCACAATGCACTCAACCACAGATTTGGGTGTATTATGCTAGTAGTGGCTAAGATAGCCTCAAGCCTCAGATGAGGAGCAAAGTCTGGTAATCTCTAACTTTTTTCTAACCCCAGACCCCAAGATTTTATTTTTTCTGTCTTCGGCTCCAACTGACGCTGACTCAGGTGACATCGCTGAAGGCAGTTAAAGAAACAGCACACAGCTCCCACAAGTGCCACAAAAGGCTTTATACAGCATTTTTCTCATGTGATAATGACATTTACATGTCATGGTTAGTACCACACAGTTGTATAATGTCTTCTGTGTCCTAGAGGATATGTGTCAAGTCTAAGAAAACAACCCTGATGTTTAACAGGTTCATATTTTGAACAGAAATCTTGTGTTCCAAACAGGGCATTTACCAAGCAGTAAAGATACAATTGCTACTACTAGGCTTTTAAAATGGTGAGGCAAACCTGCCAGAAAGAAGCCAATGAGTCTGAGTCGTACCTGTATGTAAGACCAGTTTATGTTTTTATTCCCATTGTATCTGCAGGGTTTATCTTTCACTGTGAAGCGCTGTGACATTTACTGTGCTGCTTCACACGCTTACTTGCACTCATGCAGTTTTCTGAACACTGTTTTCATTTCAGAGCGGAAGAAATGACACAGAAGTATAATAACATCAACAGTGATTGCGAAGGAACATGGACAAACCATGATGCATATTTTTGCTGCAGACTACATCTGTCGTGTGCTCAATTACAAGAATTTGACAATGCAGCATATGCGTAGTCCACATCATTTATCGGTACAGTTTATTACAGTGTATTTATCCCCCTGGAAAGGTCAACAGTGTGAATTAAGCAGTTGTCAAACGCAGTGAGGCGCCCGGGCGTGTGCCTGTATGAAATTCTCATACTTGACTGATCCTTTTCATGACAGTATTGACAGACAGATTGCTGGAGGAAGAGAATAGATGAGGACAGATAAGGAGTCCACACAGGTACATAACATTTTGTGTTGAAAAGGTTGGAGGTTTCCTCTGGGTATTGTCAGGTCAAAAGCCCCACACACATCCAATATTAGATATTACAGAGTATCTCTGGCTCATAACATATCGTGTCTTCTTCCAAGGGTGACCTTAACAAAACAGGATGAGTCACTTATGGTCAAAGGGCAGTATCAGGTAGTGCCACCTGAAATATTTGTTGGTTTATTTTTAGGTAAGACAACAAGATCCTGCGTATGATCCTGCACCAAGAAAATATCTTCTTGAGAAATCACCAAATTCCAAGAATACTAAACGTACCACAGAGACAAAACTGTTTTAGGCTAATTTTTTAAAAATAATTTATGAAAATAACAATAGACTTATTTTATGTTTTATTAAAAAGCTGATAAAACTTGATATGATGATATTTGGGAGTGTTATTGAAGTTAATTTTGATCTTACACGGCTTACTTAACAAATCAAATGCGCAAGATTTCAGACGTGTCAAATACTGCACAACGAAGGTATGAACTTAGGCTGGCCGCCCACTGAGAGGCCAAGGAGCTTTTAATTATTCACCTTCTCATTCATGAGTTCACTGAAAGCCACTCAGGTCTGATTGCCAGCACTTGCTCACTTGAGACCACTGAAATGATTTCAAGCGACACAATTAAACCAGATAAATTATTAGTTAGAAAGTTTGAGTGAGTGTGATTGGTTGCGTCATTAAGCTTTTTGCATGTGTTTGCTGGTAATTATAAGTTTTAATTCATTCATTTGGAAAACCTACAGTTCTTGATTAGTATCCACTGCTATGCATGGCTTTAAAAAAGTCCATTAAAAGGTTTATTAACAAATAGATTTGATGATGCTAAAGTGACTCCAACTTCAAAATCCTGGTTTTCTCCTAACTTCATTTGTTGGGTGTAGAAACAGCAGATGGCACTGTGGGCTGAATTTAGGAGCACTCAGTCCATGTGTTTTTCTTTTTTAATTTTATATAATGAGTTGTGTTAACAACTTTAGTTTTATATTACACATGCGTATCATAACAAGTTGTTAAGATTTCCCAAACTGTATTTGAAACTGTTTATTTTTGTGACTTTACAGATTATCTTTGCAATGCATTTATGTTTTAATTTATAATTTTTATTAAATAATATTACACATAATACAATTAGTGCAATGTTTCGTTCCCTCTGGATAATTTGACGTATTTTATGTACGCCAAAGTGAACAATAAGTGATCTCACACTGAAAATCTCTATTTTGGAGTTGTGAAATGATGCCCTTTCTATTTTCTAATTATTCTTTTCAAATGTCATACGATACATTAAGTGTTCTGATGGTGGTGTCATGACTTTAATAGCACTGGCTTCATGAAAAGGAAAAAAATAGCCATTTAAAGAAAGCCTTTCATCAGAGAAGTGTCAATTAAAAGAGACAGTTTGCCATTATGAGGTCTTTGCTCTTTGTCACAGACCTCAAAAGTAGTGCTGGCTTTGGTTTGTTTTCATACTGTTCCACAAGAGACAGAGAGGTAGAGAGAATATAAATGCATACCAGGCTCAAAGGTGACTGTGCTTTTTTTTCAGAGCCGTTTAGCAATGGAGCTCCATTACTGAGGCTCTAGCCTTGTTTCCACCACGTAGTCCAGTTCAGTTCAGTTCAGTTCAGTTCACTGAAACAATTATTTTTTGGTTTCTATTGTCAAAAGTTGTGGATGGTACCAACAGAACCACTCCATTACCTCCTGTTTTTCATCACCTCTCTGTTTTTTTTCCTGGCATACTTATCTGTTACTAAAAGGTGGATCTACAAATACCATTGACTGTTCAAGAGAGAGTCTTGCTCTACAGGGAATCAGTGTACAAACCCATTTTTAAAAATCCCATCAACTGCAACACAGAGTAAACACTCCAACCTGTTCTTTTCTGGTTTGAAAATGTCTGTGTGTAACCCTGTTACGTGGATGATCAGTGAGGTGTAAACATTCCTCTGCATCGTATGTGAGGAGAAAATACAGCGAGAGCTGGACAAGGCAGTGACACAGCAGCAACCCCACTTACATTTAACAGAACTATCTGTGGTGGAAACGCTAAACACATCTAAGTTTCAGGTACATGCCCGTAAAGGTTAAGGTTCAGACACACCAAACCGTCATCAAAGAACTAGTGGCAATGAAGGACAACTGTTGTGTTGCCTAACGTCCCCTGTGTCTCTGCCAAAAAGTTGCACTTGAACACACCACAGGTCTACCAACAGCCAGCTAGCACGCACAGTCTGCAGCTGCGTGAGAGGACATAACTCTTTATAGCAGCAGGCAGCAGTATGTATTCGTCAATCAAAAAGACCCCAGAAGACCGACAGCACAGATTCAAGATGCTAGTTAGCCAGTTAGCACATTCACAACACAACCCGATGCTCAAAGAATAAAGCGTATTTACCATGAGCTAGTACACAATAACACAAACAATTACAACCACTCAATAAGTAAGGAAATAATTTTACCTGATAATGCGTTTATTTTAATCTCTCTCTACCTTGACTAGTTGTTTGTTTGCTTTCCTCACTTTTGTTTCTCCTCTCATCCACTGAGCTTTACTGCCAATCAGAGGAATTTCTCTGACAAACAAATCTGCCGCCAATTCAACATTCTGAATCGTATGAAAAACAGGCGATAAGGGCTGTCAAGGGCCAGCTAGTGCCAACGGTGTGGGACATACCATTAGAACTAGGACAACAGACACTCACAGACAGCCTGACACTGACTGTCGGCCGACAGTTAGCTTGGTGTGTCAGAGCTCTTACGTACCGGTTCTAAGGGTACTATACAGAAACACGGCTTCTGAGACTTGCAGAATCAGTGGCATTGCCTGGTCTGGACTCCCCCCAGAGTATTAAATACAAATGAAAAAGTCTAAGATGATGAAACCACTCTTTGGTTAAACTGCACATCCACACAAAGGCCATAACTTGTGATGCATGGTGGCGCTGCCTCATCTTATGGTCACGAGTCAAAAAGCCTGGGAACCACTAATATAAATGGAGCCGAAAGGCAAATACAAAAATGCCATTTAAGGCTATATCTTTGATTTGTAACCTTTGACTATACAGGATATTATGGAGATAATAGTAGGATCATGCACTTTTTACAGAGCATTTTAGATATTAACCTAAATAAGCCATGGTGTCATACAATCATATGATATAATCATCCGGAGAAAAGAAATGTACTATCTGACAGAGCAAGATTATCTGAATTACATATTTCTGCTTCCCTTAAAAGTGTTCGAGCAGCTCCTCTTGCTGCTTATAGCCGACATAAATGGAGAAAACGTGACGTCATGTGACTGTGCCTGTTAGGGGTGGGGGAGCACAGCAACCTCAGCCTCCTCCCCTGCACTGAATCTGTCACACTGTAGAGAGGCAGGAGGCACCATGAGGGCCTTTTATGATATATATGCACAAATCCAGCTGCCTTGCAGTGTATAAAATGCATTTGTGTTGTCTTGTGAATAAATCTGGCATGGTCCTTTACATAATGAAGGCTAATTAGTTTATGCTGCAGCATTCATGGCTGTCTTTGACAGGTCTGCCAAATGTATGAAGGACGGGTAGCAGGCCAAAGAGAGACAGCCTTACTCAGCTGAAAGCCTCTCTGCAGTCTCCCAGGTAGGTTATGAAATACTTGATTTCATCGTGCTTTGTTGACTAATTTACCTTCCACTTGTACTGTAATGTGACGCTATCTTTTTACCTTTGGCCTTGTTATTAATGATATTTCTGTGTCTGTACATTGCTGTGTGGGCTACATCAATAATTTAATCATGCTCATGTTTGCATTTGTGAAATAGTATGGGTGTGATTAATTCATTCATTCATTTGAGCAGTATATGTATCCTTGTTGGAACTGTCTTGTGCACTAAATAAAAACAGACAGTGGAATTGCCATCAAAGTTCACAACGCTCCCATCTTAAACAATAGAAAAGCAGACACCAGTCCATAAACTGAATAGAAATACTGGACGTAGCCACCGTGACGTCACCCTCGGTATGTGGACTCTCGTTTTAAGGCCTCAAGTTAAGCAGTTTGGCTGTCGCTATGTTGGATTTTTGAAGCCAGAAGTGACCAAAGGAGACCATATTTGGACATGAGGGTGAAGCTGGGGAGTAGCAAGGGGTGGATTTAACCAATTTGCTGATGTGATGCCTAACAGACAGCTTGCCACTCAAAGCGGCCACACCTTTACTTAGGTGTAACTTTAAGCCTTAATGAAATGTAAACTGGTGAGTTATATAAAAATGAACTCCCTGTACCCTTGTCAGGAATGTTGAAATTACCTATGGAGACTAAGACCATTTTTGTACCAGGCTGTTAACATGTTTATTTCTGCTGTAACGTTGAGCATTTTAACAGGAGGGTCTATGGGGACTGACTCGCTTTTGGAGCCAGCCTCAAGTGGCCATTTAAGGAACTGCAGTTGTTGGCCCTCGTGTTGGCTTCATTTTGCAGCCCTGGAGGCTCACTGACCTTAGCATACACAGCATGCAAATGCAAAGCTGAGCCTACACAGAGGCCTCGAGTATTAATACATTATCTAATGAAAAACGTGCAGGATCGAGTCTAGTTTACTAACACAATCCCACGCCACTCGATCATGTGGCTATGCTGGCACAGGCCTGAAATAGGAACATAGTGTACATAGTCAAGGCTTTATTATACTCTTCTCCTGCTCATTTCCTTTTCTTCCTATCTCCCCCACCTCCCTCTGTCTCCGTCTCCCACTCTCTCTCTTCTTTCTCTGCACCAGCTGCTGCTGCTGCTCCAGAGCCAGAGTGGAGAGTCCCCTCGCCCCCCTGCACAGACAGAGACAAAAGGCCTGATTCGCCTGCTGAACACTGCCCCCTTTCTCCATCCATCCCTTCATGCACGGCTGTAGTGGTGGTGGAGGTGGTGGTGGTGGTGGCGGGGGCTTCAGGAGAAAAGAAGGCCTGGACTGGGACTAAAATCTAGGACTGACCCAGTGAAGGACAGTGAGAAGAGGGGGAGGGGAGGAGGAGGTGAGGAGGAAGAGGATGGGGGCTGAAATGGTTGGGGCTGAGTAAAGGCAGGTGCTGAGGCCTCTACAGGAAGACTCTCACAGTGGAAAAAAATCTGACAAGGGTATGCCACATTTACCTCTATATATGCATGAACGTGCATGTTTATGTGTGTCTGTGGTGGCATATGTGGGCAGGGGTGGCATGTGTTTGAAGGAAATCTGGGGTTAGGGGTGCATGTATGGCCTGTGTTTGCCCATGGCAGATTGTCTGTTTTGGGGTTTTTACATTCCTTGTCTCTATATCAAAGTGCTTGTTGTAATGCTGCTGCCGGCTCCATGAAAGTTTATAGTTTTCAGAGACATTTTCAGTGTGTCTAGGGTGAAAGCACTGAGGGAGAAGCAGGCCAAGGTATCAGATTGAGCTTCTTCTACCATTATGGCTACTTCTTCCTTTCAAAGTGATAGGTTGATTATCATTTGCTGTTATCAGTCACCATTTTGCACATCATTTTGTTTTAAATCTTACCTCATGTAACATTGTATGATTTCTCATTTCCTTTACATAACTGTGCTCATCCAAACACCATCTTTTTGTGCATTTTTGTGGCCTAATTTAACAGCAGTGCAAGCAACCAGAGTAGTGAATCTCCTCTAACCATGCTGTCACAAGTCTATAAAATATTGTGGGTCCTTTTGTTCACTAAATCTACAGAAATATACATGTAGTTTGGTGGAACTGTTGCGTTGTTTCCTGGGAGGTGGGCACACTGCTTCTGCCTGTGTGTTTCTGAGGCCGTATTGCAGCACAAGGCTTTATGCTGGGTGACCGGAACCAGATGAAACCGGTTTGAGGCAGACGGAGGGCTGACAGGAACAATGCCGTCCCTGTGCTCCACTGAGGGATAGAGATAGCCAGGGCTGCTCCATGGCAGCCCTTCACAGCTCAGCCACTGGCTATCATGGCACAGGCAGAGACCCTGCTGCTGCTGCTGCTGCTGGCCGCTGCTCGCTGGATGTCGGCGTGCGACGCAGCGCGGCTCAGAGCGAGGGGGGCAGGGAGATTTGGGAAGGGACGAGGGCAGGGCGACGTGGCTGGCTGGGAGTCTGTGAATCTGCAGCCTGGAACCTCACATACACACACATGCAAGAGCATGATCCATCTGTCTGTTTGTATGTCTGTGTGCTGCTAGTGGTGCAGAGAATGACTAAGGAGGATCCTTACCCAGGACCACCACCACTCACCAGATCCCTGGATGTAACCTGACCCTGTACTCTGGGCCTTTGCATGGTTGGGAAGAAACAGGACTTTTTTTCTCCTCCAGGCAGGGTGGGGTGTATGGCTTTTTGTGGGTTAGCAGTGTTGTGACTGTGTTTGTTGCAGGATGGAAGGAAGGAAGGAAAGAAGGTTTGGCTAGTGGCTGGAGAGGGACGGAGGCAAGAGGGTGAGGAGTGGCTGATTCACTTGCATGTTTCCACCATTGTTGTTCTACATTCACTTTACTGAGATTGCAGCTTTACATAGTATCTGGATTTCAGGTGGTAATGATGCATGTGAATTAAACTGCTATTGCTTTGAGGGGTTCTGTGTTGTGTCTTTCTCATATTTGTCTGTATTTAACCTTCATTTACACTCTACGTCCGGCTGATCTGGCTGTCATGGCTGTGACTAGCTGTTCTTTCCACCAGGCCTTTCTCTCTGCTGCAGCTTCACACAGCTCAGCAGCCATTTTTACCCCCTCACTGCATTTCTCGCCTGCCCTCTCCATAACATTTCTCCCCTTCTCTCATTTTGTTTATGTTTATCCCATTATAATAACCATCCCATCATCTGGATTGAATTGAGAATAGTGCCTTTTTGAAACCAAAGCTGAGCCTAAAAGATATGGGTGTGTGTGTGTGTGTGTGTGTGTGTGTGTGTGTGTGTGTGTGTGTGCGCGCGCGTGCGTGCGTGCGTGCGTGCGTGTGTGTGTGCGCGTGTGTGTGTGCAGATGTGTTCGACCATGCATATTTGGATCAAAGAGCAGCACTGGTTTAACTGCACGTACTGTAAAAGCAGAGCAGCTCCAAGGCGGTGCCTTTTGTCCCCAGCACCAATAACACATACAGACACACTGCATTTCAGTCCCATCATATCTCATTTGCAGTGTCCACCATTAAAAAAATAAAGATTTGTTTCCGAAGTTATAAGCCCCTGGGGCAAAGTTCTCTGATGTTGAATATTAGCCTATTGTATAACATTTTGCTTAAACAATTGAAAAAAACAATAACAATCATGTCATCATGTTCATATTTACCCTTCATATTTCACTCAGATTAAGTATTATTGATGTATAAGATGTTTTATTCACCCCAAAACCAGCTTACAAGGACCAGCACTGACAGAAATATTACTATTATATGTACACTCATCTTCTATATTGCATTGATAACTTGGATGCATCATCCTCCTAATTATAAATCAGAAAATATACATTCAAAACAGAAGCAAGGAAGTCAGATACATTTCATCAGCACACTTGTATATTCTTGTTTTTTCTTCCCATTTATTTATTTAATTATAGCAACGCTGACCATGTAGTGACTGAGGAGAAAATGTTTTGCTTGCAAGTATCCACACTTAATGTCATTAAAATGTCACACAGACCCCCCCACGTGGACCAGCAAGTGGCTCCCCGGTGTAGTAGCAGAGAGTGCTAAACTTAGTCTGCTAATGCATGAATTAAACATCAAGAACAAGAAAGCAGTGAGTAGCCCACGTCATGCTTAACATGGTATTTCACAGGCTATACTTCTGTATATGTGGATACTGGTGCACCATGTGGTGTCAGTTGATATTTATGGGTGTAGACCCAAACACACCACGAGTCATACTGTAATTCACATAATAAAAGCACATATTAAATTGGGCTGTACAAAACTACTCCATATTGTGAAGTCTATGGCTTTTTCCCAAATAACAAAAAATAAGAAAATATGCAAATATCCCAAAGCTGGATATAATAATGTCACACTATTAATCAAAGTTGAATCTCTGACACAGTAACATTCTAGTGTATAGCTAGGATCTTTCCTAATAACAATAAACCAGAAACCACTTTCAAGAATTCAATTAATGCCACTGTCTGTAACATAACAGCCACCTTAGTGACATGTTTCAACTATAAAATGAATGCTCTTAACCAGAACAGAAAAATATGTTTCATCACATTATTATTCAGTATTATCTTCCCTTCTTTTCTCAGTCATTGCATGTGGAGCCATAAATTGGTGTAAAAAGTGGTATGTCAGAAATGTTTTACTGGGTATTCCTGGCAAGAGGAAAATCTTCAATCACATACATCAGACAGAAGTAGGATATGGGATCATTAACATCTATCTTGACTATAATCTTGTAACTCTTGCCTCTAATACAACATAAAACATAAGGAGATATATTGCTCTGTGGCCAAGTTTGGCAATACTGACACTATACAAGTAGTAAGTACATTTACAGTATTGTGCTTAAGATGTCTATTCTTCTGAATGCAACAGGGATGAACCCTGTAAAAAGTCTTTAATTAACAAGCTACAAGCAATCAGAGTATGATTTTCTCTACTTTAAGAAATTTGTTAAACAACTGTGTTAAGAAATGTCGAGAGCAGCTGTTTCTACTTTTATATTCATGAACATGATCATATTACCATGGCCTTAGTCTTCAAAATGGCAAATTTGGAGAGCATTGATTGCCCTACAAATACTACCAATTTAGCACAAACCAAAGCAAATTCTGTTCTCAATATGAATGGCCTAATTATTTCCCATCACCATGAAAAAGCCTCATTTGGGACAAATGACAGACTTAGAATGATGTTACAGTAGTTTGTGTAGCCGTCCATGATGTTTATTGAGAAAACTGCAAGAATATAAACCTTGTCATTATGAAACCTATGATCTATGAATATTATTGGCTTTTATTTTATACAACCCTAAAACCAAAATACCAGCTTCACACAAAAGACATATCATGATCTAATAAGCAGATTACCATGTAAGTCACTGGAAACATTCAACACCAGATCACATGGGATCAACTGTAATGGGACACTGTGTTGATCTTTGATCCAATATGCTGATTTTTTTGGCAAAGAGAAATAAGTAAAACCATCTTTTTGGTTCCCATTACTATCTCATACAAAACAGTATATTGCAGCAACATTAATAAGATTGTGATTACACTGAATTCTGCTGTGCTACATTAAGCAAATACAAACAACTAATGCACAGACAGTATAAAGACTTTCATTGCAAAATGTGATACCCCCTTTCTCATAGTATGTTGAAAAACTCATATCATTAGATGTTTTTGAAAACAATCTGTAGTAAACATGGTATGCCATCTGTGTTCCCCAGGTGATCTCCACATCAGAACAGGAGTAGGACCATGGGAGATATGAAGACGCCGGACTTCGATGATCTGCTGGCGGCCTTCGACATCCCCGATATGGTGGATCCTAAAGCCGCTATTGAATCTGGCCCCCATGATGACCAAGACGGACAGCTCAAGCAACCTAGTGGTGGGGTGACTACCAATGAAGATGAGGCCCAAAACCCCTCAACAGGACATGATGTTGGTGTTAGTGTCATCGTCAAGAATATCCGAAACACGGACACTAGTGAACATGGTGGAACCATATCCGAGAAGGATGGACATTTTCATCCCCAACCTCATTCTGTAGGCATTGGCAATGGACTTCATAATGGCTTCTTGCCCGCAATACAATCAAGTACTCATTATACCAAGAACGGATGGAAAGCGCCAAGGGAGGAGGGACAACCAGTTAACAACCAATCATCTACCTTTAATCAGTTCAGCCCCATCTCCAGTGCTGAAGAGTTTGATGATGATAAAATTGAGGTAGATGACCCCATGGACAAGCAGGAAGGTCAGTCGTTCTTTAGGTCCACTACTAAGACAGAGGACCAGAATTCCAAATCTCCTGTATCAGTGGACAATGATCAAAACAAGAGCACCGATGGCAATCAGGCAGGTCCCAAGTCTAACGAGCCCCCTCAATCAAGTTTACCTGAGGGGGAACTAAAGGAAACTGTCCTCAAGTCTCAAGGTCAGGGGTGCAAGGAGGCTGGAGAGCCAACAGGGCCTGTTAATGTGGTCAGTATCTCTCAAGTCAAAGCTAAGTCCTCTGCAAAACTTTCATCTTGTATAGCAGCCATAGCAGCCCTCAGTGCCAAAAAGGCTAGTGCTACTGACTTGGGTGTTTTGGATTCTCCTACAACACAGAAAGAATCCACCCAAGCCAATAAAAGTCCTAGAGCTCTGGAGAAGCCACATGAGCAGGAGTCAGCCCTAGAGTTTGCAAAGAGGCTGCTAACACGACAACCAGACAGCCCCTCTAGTGTCATCAGTGAGGGGAGCAGCAAAGGTTCCCCTGATTCAAGCACAGACACCACCCCAGTTATCCCAAAAGTCAGGATCAAAACAATCAAGACATCATCCGGCCAGATCAAGCGTACTGTCACCCGAGTTGTACCGGAGTTTGATCCTGATTGTCTGAAAAAAGGAGAGAACAGCCTTTCTGTCACCAGTGCAATTTTCTCATCCCCCACAAGGCCCTCTCTGCCAACCACAGTATTAGCCACCACTGGAGGTCCTTCAATTGAAATAACCAAGCAAATGACAATAAAACCTGTGGCGACAGCTTTCCTGCCTGTCTCGGCAGTCAAGACAGCTGGTTCCCAAGTCATCAACCTGAAGCTAGCTAACAACACCACTGTCAAAGCAACAGTCATCCCTGCTGCATCAGTGCAAAGCGCCAGCAGTGCCATCTTGAAAGCTGCTAATGCCATCCAGCAACAGACTGTCATGGTACCTGCCTCCAGTCTGGCTAATGCCAAACTTGTGCCAAAGACAGTCCATCTTAGTAATCTCAATCTTCTGCCCCAGGCAGTATCCTCTGCTGTCTGTGATCTCCAACAGGCCCTGTCCTCCTCCAAACAATCACAGCATGTCAAACATCAGACAGTTCTCGCTGGCCGAGCCTCAAAGAAAGTCTCTAGGATTCAAGTGTTGACCAACTCTCAAAGCTCTGTAGTGGACGCCTTCAATAAAGTCCTGAGTAGCATAAATCCTGTCCCTGTGTACATCCCAAACCTCTCCCCACCAACCTCAGCTTGTATCTCTCTACCCTCACGTGGCTACAAGTGCCTTGAGTGTGGAGATTCATTTGCTCTTGAGAGGAGCCTGACACATCATTATGAACGTCGCAGTGTGCGGATCGAGGTCACCTGCAACCACTGTTCCAAAAGCCTAGTGTTCTACAACAAATGCAGCCTTTTGTCTCATGCCAGGGGCCACAAAGACAAAGGGGTTGTCATGCAGTGCTCACATCTTATCCTAAAACCCATTCCTGCAGATCAGATGATAACCACATCACCCTCACCAGGCCCACCCAGCATCATTGGCACCACCTCCCCCTCCCAAGCACAAGCGCCCACCAGCCAAATCCCTGTCAGAGTTGCTGGTGGAGGGTCCAAAAGTACAGTGATTTCAGCTTCATGCAGTGCTCCTCTTGTGGCCGCCATGCCCTTGGAGGATGATGCATCGAAACTGTGCAGACACAGCCTGAAGTGCTCTGAATGTAATGAAATGTTCCCAGATGACAGCTCACTTGCCATGCACTATCAGCAGGCACCGGAGTCCAGTGGGCAGGTGTGTGTATCTAATGTGTGAACTGCTACAAAATATGGTTCAATTTTATTTAGTGGCCTTTTAGTGGTTTAGTGGTGGCAGTGGCTATTTTGGGAAGCCTCTGGTTCCCTTTCATTTTTTCCATTGACAATGTTATGTGACTCATAGTTGGAGCACTTCTACAGCTTGGATCCACTTGAAACATAACATTTAATACATAACAGTATCTTTAATGCAAAGATAAACGCTCATATTCTGGGTACAATTGTTCCAGTGCTGTGATAAAAATGCAATTGATGATTTTCTTTATCTCCTCTTTTTAGAAAACATGCACCATCTGCCAAATGCTTCTCCCAAATCAGTGCAGCTTTCTGTCACACCAGCGAATCCACCAGCACAAGTCTCCTTACATCTGCCCGGAGTGTGGCGCCAGCTGCCGTTCTGTCCACTTCCAATCACATGTCACAAAGAACTGCCTGCATTACACCCGCAGAGTTGGCTACCGGTCAGTCTACCTCAATTAAAATCAAAACATTATTAATTTGAATTTTAGTTCCTTGTGCTTTTTTCCAACTTTAATGTCCAAACTATATTTTTCTGTTAAAACCGTGTTTTTTCTTTGGGATAGTCAAATCTGCCAGAAAACAAATTCATGGTATGCAGTGAGCAGCGTTCTTCTTTCTAAGAGGCTATACTCAGACTTAAGTGTCTTCCCTTTTCTTTCGTAGGACCACTTACAATGTCATTTTTAATTACAGTTATTACATTATGTTTGCCTCAGCTTGACAATCCCATTTAACCAAAAGTGATTGTATGGCCACAGTTTTTATGTGGACTCACCCCAGATACAAGCCATTAAAACTCACCAGTTATGGTTCAATTATGAGTCTGGTCAACGAAAAATGTTCTGAAATGAACATCTTGTTCTTAAAGTTAAACTCTGCAATGTTATATTTGCATTCCTGTCTGGAAATCTTTTCCGTTTTTTTGCAGAGAGTTGGATGAAAAGATTAATACCACTCTAAGCAGGTGGTTATCTTTGCTTTGCTTAGCATAACAGCTTGGCTGGGTCTTTGCAAGATTAAAAAATATCCACCTACAAACATTATGTAATATGTTAATTACTGAGCTCCACAGGTGTTGGTTTTCAATCTTTGGACAGAGCTAGGCTAGCCGATTCTCCATTTCCAGTCTTTATGCTAAGCTAAGTGGACTGTCCTGGCTGTAGGTTGATTTTTCATGGGCAGAGGTTACTGGTACAACTTCACCAGCTTCAAAGGTGTGTGAAGAAGGGAAATTAGTCTAAAGAGGTAAAAACTCCAGCAACACTTAATGTTTAAAAATCAACTTCATTGTAAGACCAATGCATTTTGGCTTGTGGCCAAAAGGGTAAGGGTAAATGGTATGGTGTTGTTTTTCCATGATGAGTACATCTGAGAGTTGCAGAGGGCCCCAAGCCGAACCATGTTGGTCTTACAGTAAGATTGTTCTTTATACTACAACTGTTGCTGGAGTTTTGATCACTTCATTTTAATGGACAGACAGGAGAGTGGTTTCAAGCTTCTGATCTAACTCTTAACAAAAAAGTGAGTATTTTCCTAGAAAGGTCTGTGTCTTGTACTGACTCAGGATCGGCTCACCAATCACACAAATGAAAAAAGCCAATCTCAAGTTAGAAACACCAAAGTGCTTCTCTCTGAGGAACAAGTTAAACTGACTTTCAGTCAATTAAAGTCTTATTTAAATCTGACTTCTGCAAACTCTTATTCCTTCTCCCTCCAGCTGTATCCACTGCAGTGTGATCTTCGCTGATGCTGCAACTGTGAAATCTCACATCCAGAATTCTCACTGTGAGACCTTCTTTAAATGTCCTCTCTGCCCCATGGCCTTCAAGTCTGCACCTGGAACACACTCTCATGTGAACACACAGCATCCAGGAATGAAGGCAGGAGAGCCCAAGTAGGTCAACATTGTGATGTGAAATGTAAATCTAAACCAAATGTATTTCAGTTTTATATTCTCTTAGACAGACAGAATATTATTCCAAATGTTGTTGTAAATGTACATTTTGAAGTACACAGCATTTGATTCAATGCAAAATTAAATCCAATATATAAATGAATAAAAACAGTGTGCAGTGCACAGAAGACACCAGCTTTTTCCTCAAAGAAGTGTCAACACACATCTTCGCACTGTTCTTTTCACATCGGCACACACCAACATAACCTAATACCCTCGTCCAATTCATTTATTCAAAGGAAAATCATCCTCGCTGTTTCATCAGTAGCAGGATTTGTGGGTTTTAGACACGGTGGCTTAAATTGGGTTTGCTTTTTCCACATGGCAACCTTTCACTGATTTGCTGCCCATCATCAGCACTACTCAGGAGCAGGTGTTCTTTTACCACTGTCTAGGTTTGGCCTTGGTTGTACATCAAGCTTAAAGCTAAATAAATATCCAATATAAAACCGTATTTAAAGTACTGAACCAACCTTTCCAATAATTTGTTCAGATCACAATCTAAAACGATCTGAAAGCAATCTAATATAAATGGTTAGTTTAGTGATACAGACATGAGGTGTAAGAACACAACTGCAACTGAATGTTAATAGCTTTATGTGAATAGTTTGCACAAGTAACAGCTGTCCTCTCTTTTCATATGCATTTTTACATTTTGCAGTGAACTTGCAGTGGGTTTTTACAGATGTTTTTTTCTGTCTTTCAGGATGATCTATAAGTGTTCCATGTGTGATACCGTGTTCACCTTGCAGTCCCTGCTTTACACGCACTTCGACCAGCACATCATCAATCATAAAGTGTCAGTGTTCAAATGCCCTGACTGCTCCATGCACTACGCACAGAAACAGCTCATGTTGGACCATGTCAAGGTGAGCATGAAAAGCAGTTACTTAAGGGATGCTTGACAATTAACTCTGTTTTCTATATATAAAGCTGTTTGCTTCTTAATAACTCTGAAATCAAACCTCATGCTCTGAATGTATGAATAGGTATGTTGGGAAAAGGTGCTATCTTTGTTCACACTTTCAAGGCCAATTATATGAGTACTGATTGTAATATGTTTCACACACCAGTGCTTTATAATTTTTTAGTTACAATTCAGTCTGAATGTGTGGATCCTTTCCAGGCCATCCATGGAACCCTGAAGACCATCGAGGGTCCACCAAACTTGGGCATTAATCTCCCTCTCAGCACCAAACCCACCAACTCCAATAGCACCAACAGCAACAGCCCCAGTAATAACAACAATAACAAAGATGGAGGAAATATCAACGGTCAAGACAAGAGCGAAAAGAAGCCTTCACCTTCACCTCTAAAGAAAACAAACAGTAGTGGCTCAGCAGACATCAAGAACCCTGCCAGCTCAGGATACACATGTGGAGACTGCAGTACCCTCTTCAGTTCTAGAGAGGTCTTTGTGGCTCACATGAGGCGTGAACATGGCAAGGTGATTGTTTGACACCATTCACATTATGAGTTTATGATTTGTCACATGCTCTTTTTTGAGATGCTGCCACGAGAGAACACACAGGAAAAAAATTGAGATTTGATGCTGTAAGTCTTACAGTGGTGGAAGAAGTATTCAGATTCAGAATACCACACTATAAAAATACTCTGTTATAAGTAAAAGTCCTGCATTAATAATATTATTAAAATAGAATATCTAAGTATAATAAGGAAGATGTACTGAATGTATTAAAAGTAAAAGTGCTCGGTGCAGAAAATTCTCTGGTATACAAATGTACATTATATCATCAGATTTATTAAAGTGTAAGCAGCGTATCACTGTTGTAGTTGGCTAGTTACAAGAAAGTTTCTCAATTAATTTTCTGACAATCATCTTGATGATTGATCAACTAATCTTTTTAGCTCTAACTGTATACGCTGTTGGCGTGTTTAATCTCTAATAAGGTATCATACTTCATTAGCTCTTCCTATGTTTTGAAGGTAAAATCTTTATCTTGTAATGTAACTTGGAGTAATAGCTTTTAAATAATTGAAAAAAAAGTTAAATATTTTTCTCCAAAATGTAGTGGAGTAGAGGTTTAAGTGCAAGTACCTTTGATTTATTTTACTTTTGAGTAAATGGTTTTAGTTACATTTCACCACAAGTCACACAACAGTAGAAACATGATCCATAAACATATCATGCATTCTCCTTACACTGCAGATACTGAAGAAACACCCATGTCGACAGTGCGACAAGTCGTTCAGCTCCTCCCATAGCCTTTGCCGACACAACCGTCTCAAACACAAGGGACTGCGGAAGGTCTACACCTGCCCGTGAGTACACAAACCCACTAATCCTCCAAATATAACGTCAAGATATGTTTGTCTATGCCCACCAGACCCTACATACAAGTGTTTTCTGATCTGACAGCACTATGATCAAGGTTTGGTTAGGTTTACGTACAAAAATGACTTGGCGAAGGATGACTTTCTTTCAGACCCCAGTAAGATTAGTTGACATCAGGGCTTTAGCTAATGTGGATCTTAACACACTAAACTTGGTTAGGGTTAGGAAATCTTCGTCATCATGGTTACCACAATAATGACTTGGATACAGTTAGAGAACAACTTTGCCTTGAAACCAGTGTTGACTGTCCGTAAGAAACACAAAACGAACAGCGGCCTCCTGTGTTGTCCTACATTTTGTTGACCGATCCATCAATCCTGACCTCTTATTGGCTCTATAGTAATGTCAGATCAAGAACTATTCTCCATCTGGCTTACATACAGTGCAACTCAAAGTGAAAATACTTAAATATAATACAAGTGCAAGAAAAACTGTATGTATAGAAATAAAAGGAGACAATATCAGCTTATAAGGGCTTATAATTGTTATTTTCTTGTACTGTGATAGGCACTGTCCTGCTCTCAGTCAGCCATTCACTAAAAGAGTGCTGCTGGATCAGCACATTCATCTGATGCATGGAGTCAAAGACCCAGAGGGGAAGACTGTCAGCTCTGATCATACTGAGACTTCACCTGACAAAGAAACGGTACTGTGGCACACATTTGCCGACATACACTTATTAAAGATTTTTTTTTTTACCTTACAAGTAAAATTCATGGTTCTTCTGTCTCTCCCTAAGCTATCATTTTTATCTCCTCCACAGACTCTCAGCCCCAAAAGGAAGCCAGAAGAGGATGAGGGGTCTCCAAGCTTGAACTCCAGGGGCTTTGATTCACAGCCCTTGAAGAGGCTCAAGGTGAACATCCTAAAAGTTCACAAGTGTGCCGTCTGCGGCTTCACCACTGAGGACATTGCAGCTTTTCACGAGCACATTCCCCAGCACAAGTCCGATGGCTCGTCCTACCAGTGTCAGGAGTGCGGCCTGTGCTACACCTCCCACCGCTCGCTGGCCCGACACCTCTTCATTGTCCATCGGCTGAAGGAGCCGCAGGGCCTCGCCCGATACAATGGACGGGGCAAGGACGACGATGAGAGTCAGAGAGAGAACCAGCTGGACGTTACAGACGGGACCCCAAATACCAAATGCAAAGTGTGTGGTAAGATGTTTGAAACGGAGGGAAACTTGAACACTCACATGAGGACGCATGGGATGGCGTTCATAAAGTCTAAGAGACTGAGTGCAACTGAGAAGTGACACTTTTAAACCATTCCATCTGAAGCAAACTCTGTTGTTTTAAACTTAACACAGTTTGGTAAAGCGTTGCAGACAACCGTCAGTGTGCTGTACATACATAATGTACATGTAGGGTACTACAATATGTATACAATATACACACAAAAATATGTAATATATGTCAAAGTCACTTTATGTGTCTAAGTAAATTGAACAAGATAGTTTTTTGTACACACATAGATGTTTCTATAGGCTTTGAATAGATCTTTTTTATAGAAGAGCTTTTTTATTTTAAACAGTTTCCATTGTTCGCACTAGGGCTAGATAATGTATGGATATATTGTTGTAATGGGATTAATCCTCATACAGTCAGCAGTGTTCTGAATGTTCAATGCTGCTGATGTCAAACGAATGTCTGAGAGAAAAATAT